TTGCATTTGCCAGCCAGACCTCGCAAATGCGAGATCTGCATACCTGAAGCATACCAGCAAATTTTCTTAAGTCCAAATCACTCCGTAGCCTATTCGAAACTTACCCGAACCCTCGGGGCTCCAAACCAAACATGCACACAAGTCTTAAAATATCATACAAACTTGCTCGCGCGATCAAATTGCCAAAATAACATCTAGAACTACAAATTTAGTACCAAATCACATGAAATTCTCAAGAACACTTTGAAATTCCTCTTTTCTCAACTGGATGCCCGAATCACGTCAAATCAACTCCGATTTTTAAATTTCACAGACATGACTTAAATATTATATTAAACATGTACCGGGATCTGGAACCAAAATATGGGTGCGATACCAACGAGATCAAACATTAATCAATTTCTTTAAATCATTTGATTTTCAGTCTTACAATTTTCATCAAAAATTTATTTCTCGTACTAGGGACCTCGGAATTCGATTCCGGGCATACGCCCAAGTCCCATATTTCAATACGGACCCACCGGGACTGTCATAGCACGAGTCCGGGTCCGTTTACTCAAAACGTTGACCGAAGTTAACTAAATTAACTTTTAAAGGCAAAAATTATTATTTTTTCTCAAATTTCCTCATAAAAGCTTTCCGGAAACACGCCCGGACTGTGCACGCAAAAGGAGTAAAATGAGGTTTTGAAGGCATCGAAACACGAAATTGAGTTCTAAAACATAAGATGACCTTTTGGGTCATCACAAAAATCATGCGACCTGGAAAGAGCTCGTGAACAATTAACAATAGAGGTAAAGTAAATATAACATAAAATAATTTTCTGACAAGCAATAAGTGTGTGCAGAGCCGAGGGTCAATTTTCTAATTACTTCCAAAAACGGAGATAATATTTAAAGAGCAACCCCTTATAGGACTATTCCTGTAACTCACCTATATTATCTTGATAGAAAGTTTATTGAACTCATTAAATTATAATCTAATGTTACGGACAAAACTAAAAATTTGAGTTCGAGAAAAAGCACAAAATATAAGAGTTATACTCCCTCCGGTCACTTTTATTTGGCATATATATTAAAAATAGATGTTCACTTTTACTTGGAAATTTACGCATATTAAGAGAAGACAACAAATTTTTTCCTGTTTTACAATAATATTTATTACTCATTTCAAATCATTTTCTCAAATCCAATAAAATATGCATCAATTAAAATGGGTATCATGGTAAATTACACACTTCATTTATTATTTCTTAAGGGCGTGAAAAGTCAAAAGGTGCCAAGTAAAAGTGACCGAAGGGAGTAGTTTATAACTCGCACTTCTTTGTGATTTCACGTAGGTATTCAAAATTTAAATTTGATAAATTTAATTTTAATTTTGCTTTAAGAGTACTGGAGTCATTGTACTTTTACTATTATAAATTCTAAATATAATATTCTTCTCTTCTATGGATATATAACAAATTATCTCAAAATATCCACATCATTGAATGGAGTATATATATAATTATATACACTTCAATCATCCCCACCAGAGGCGGATCAAGGATTTAAATCCTATAGGTTCAATTTTTAAGATTATTTTTAGTATTAAACCCATTATATTTTTAAAGTTATGGGTTCATATCTACTTTTTTATAATTTTAGTAAATTTTTACATATAAATTTTTATTCTGCATTGAAAGTTATGGGTTCAATTGAACCCATAGTCACAACACTGCATCCGCCCGTGTCCCCACCCTAGACCCACAACTTGGGCACAAATAGACAAACACTCAACTTGCATGATAGGATTGGCTCAATTTCAGTTCATACGAATATTATTGTATTCTAAAATATAGAAAAAATATCACCTAAATTATTGGATTTTGAGTACCCTACATCAGTTTACCCTATATGACCTCGATGTTAGTTATATATATATATATATATATATATATATATATATATATATATATATATATATATATATATATATATATATATATTCTTGCTTATCTCTCACTTAATATACTTCGCCACAAACGTCCCCTAAAACACACTGCCCTCAAAAGTATCACAAAAAAACATACTGTTTCCCTTACTATAAATCAGTGCTTTTCCTTCATTAGTGATCCTTTAGTTTTCTTGATTTATCTCCTCAGAATTTTTGTTTGTCTGCATAAATGGTGCCAACAACTTCATCAGAATCTGAAACCAAATCCTCCTTTCATGAGGTTTCTAATGCTAAGCCACAAGTTGCAGTTTCAGTATTAGCAGATAAAAAATTATCTGCGAATGGTGTAACAGTTCAAACTGAAACTCTAACATCTACCGCCACCGATAAATCTTTGCAGAATGGTGATATTCAGGTAATTTTGAATATTTGAGTACCTTTTTTTCCTTCTTTAAATGGTTAAAATTTATTTTTAAATATGTTTTTTTATTTAAATATTCTTTTGTTGAGTTTTATAAGCATGGCGGCTGAAGAGTGTAACAATGATTTGTTAAGTAATCTAGGGGCAGTTAATAGCTATCCTGATTTATTAAGTAAAATCTAGGGAATAATGAAGATAGCGTTTTTTGAGAAAGTCGGAAAACTATGGACTTCTCTCTCGACGTTGCCTAACGTAGTACGACTATATAGGTGAATAAACCTAATGGGAAAAAAAGAATTACTTTACGTATTAGTCTTCTGAGGGAAAAATTCGAACTCAAATATGTTTTTCCTTTCATTAGTTCCTTTTTCTTAATTTTCTTTCCTAGTCCTTCACCCAAAAGAGTTCAGGAATATGTTTCGTTATTCAATTAAACTCGTTTCATCATAATGTGCACTTACCTATTGCATGATCCTAATTCCTTCGTAGACCTTATATATTTTTCGTTTTTTTAATAAGATTTTAGACGGGATAATCTAATAAAACAGTGAACTTTATCCAGCAATATTCTCCTAATTTTCTTTTCTTCTCTCAGCAGAAGTTTTATGTCATGTTGAAAGATGATAAAATGCATTTCTTTGTTGCTTTCTCAAAAACTCAAAGTGTGGCATGCAGTTATAATAAAACAGTGAGATATATATGTGCAATGATTTTCTTACATTCCTGTAAAATGTTTCTTTATTTTTATTTCTTTAAATTGGGGTTGGGTGGGGTGGGGGATTAAGCCTTAAGGTGGGGTTTGTATGTTGGCTAATGAAGAAAAAAGACTGCACGCCTGCAATGAGTGCAATGTATCAGAAATTTTAAGTGAAAAGGAAATACACAAATAAAAGATATACTAGTAACATATTATTACCGCATGGTTGACTTGGCTTGCTTTATTAAGATCATGATGATCAAAAGAGACTTTGCGCGTCTACTTTCAATTTCAGTGCACCCTATTCCTTACTAATTAGCAGAGAGGATATTAATGTCATTTAGAATAATTAGGAAACAAAAGTACTTGCATTCTGTTTTTTACCAAATAAAGATATAAATATAATGCATGAATTTTTATCATTTAATCAATGATTAAGTAACATATATTCTTTCTTTAATTTGTTACTGACATAGTTAAATTATTTAGTGTGATATAAACAAAAATGTGAATAAATATGTTTCAAATAACTATGGTAATTGACAACTTAAAAACAGTACTGGACAATTAGATTATATGGTCTATTAATCGTTGGATGTGATCGTCTTATCAAACTTATATTGGCATTTAACTATCTTTCTAAGAAGTACATATTATACTGAGCTATTTTCAGATATAAACTTTTTGATTGGAAAATTATTCAAAAACTTCTCTGAATTCAAGACCAACCTTCGACAGGTTCAACTGTATCTTTAGTCTGTCTGGTCCGATCAATTTTGCGAAAAACAAGCAGGGAATCTTTCCTTTTATAATTTATATTTTTTTCCAGAATTGGTTTCAAAATTCCCAGAAAAAAAAAAAGATCTAGAGTGAAACTACAAAAGTGCTTATATGAATTTGAGTTTCGATAATAATGGTTTTAACTTACACTATTGAATTTTCAGAAATCACTATTATTTAGTGGCTATTAACTTCCTATAACTACCATATATATAATTACTTCCTATAACTACTATTCAGTTGTTACGGTAGTGTATTCGCGCTGTTGTATTCATGGATACAGCAGCAAAAAGCGCCTAAAAATCAGGGCAGTCCAACTGTACACGCCTGTATTCACATGTATTTGCACCATGTATTCATGAATACAACAGTAAAAAAACGCCTAAAATCAGGGCAGTCCAGCTGTCCCGTCCCATTTCGTCACGTCCCGCCTGTCCCGCGTAATTTTTTTTTTTTTTGAATTCTAGCTGTTGGGCAATGGCTTCAATTGCAAAAATAGCCGTTCTCAAAGGCCAAAACGGTCATAAATGGCCTCCACCCCCCCCCCCCCCCCCTAAAAAAAAAACCATCCTCCCCAAACTTTTAATATAACCTCTAAGTTTATTAAATTACACTTTGGCCTTACTTTCTACTATATATACCCATCCTTCTTCATTCTTTCCCACAAAAAATCAATCATCCTCTCTCAAATCTCTTACATTCTATCTATATTATTCTCTTAATTTTCTCACTATCAAGTGATAACTTTCAAGTATTTGGGCAAATAAGTCAAAAAACTAGTTATTGCAAACTTTAAAAACTTAATCATCGTTTTTTTTTTAAACTGCACTTAAGGCCCGCGAACCCGTTTCGTCCCATTTGTCCCGTCCTTTTTTGTCCCGTCCCGCCTAAATATCGTCCCATCCCGTTAATTTTGTCTAGTTCCGTCCCGTCCCGTTGGACAGCCATAGTGGGCAGCAGGCGCACATGCCATTCACGGCGGCCGAGAATTTCTCTCTCTAAGTAAGACCCTTAAAAGTCATAACCTTTGTTGATGTATGCTGTATGTAAATAATATTACTTGTCACTTGATGTTATCTGATTTTGACGGATCAATAAAAGAAACAAAATATATCAGTAGTAATTATATAGTTGTTGATTACTCTTAGAAACATTTAATAAATACTAACTTACACAAAAAGAGAGAGCAATTAGTTTTGATATGCTATTTTTAGAAGATTGACATGAATCAGCATATTTCAGATGCAATCTTGTAGAAAAGGACCCTTAAACTTTATTAATCCACAATATTAGCATCTAAATTTTTATTAGACTATTAGTTTTTTGTGAATCAATTATTCGATTTTCATCTTTGACCGGAGAAAAATAAAAAGGTTTGAGGCTTAGAATCCTATCAACTGACACTTCACTTGCAAGCCTTTCAACGGCTGAGGAGCCATACCTTTGATCTATCAGCTTCTCTGCTTGAAAAAATCTTTGGTTTTGCATTCACTTTTGAGGGCTATAATGGTGGAACTTCCCAATTCATTCTCTACCTATGGTCCTATCCTATTCTCTTTAAATTTTTAATTATATTATACTAGTTGCTATAAATTTGAAATATTTTATATCTTCTATTTTAACTGACATCTGCTGCATGGACAATTGATAGATGGGCAATTTCTTTTTCCGAGATTGAATTTATTTTTCCTCCGACTCAATATGTAATTTTATTATGATTGATTGTTTTTTAAAATTAACTACTACTTTCTTGTATGTTATCAATTGTGCTGTTTGGTTCCTATAGTTGTAGTGATATTTGTACTGTGATTGTTTTCCTTAACTGGGAACTTGCTGGAAATTTGCAGAAACTTAGGGTTTCAGCTCATAGAGAAGCTGCAATTTCAATGGGACAACTTAATGGTGCAGAATACATAGGGATTAATGAGGTTCGAGCAAATAATGCTAAGAAAGTTTCACTCTTGCCTCTCATTTTCCTCATTTTCTATGAGGTTTCTGGTGGTCCTTTTGGTGTTGAGGACACTGTTCATGCAGCTGGTCCTCTTTTTGCTCTTCTTGGATTCTTGGTTTTCCCTTTAATATGGAGTGTCCCTGAGGCACTCATTACTGCTGAAATGGGCACTATGTTCCCTGAAAATGGTGGTTATGTTGTGTGGGTTTCTTCTGCTTTAGGTCCATATTGGGGCTTTCAGCAAGGTTGGATGAAATGGCTGAGTGGAGTCATTGACAATGCACTTTACCCCGTTATGTTCTTAGATTACCTAAAATCAGCTATCCCTGCATTAGGTGGTGGGCTTCCTAGGATTCTAGCTGTTTTGGCTCTTACTCTGGTTCTCACTTACATGAACTACAGGGGTTTAACCATTGTTGGTTGGTTTGCTGTTTCGCTTGGTATTTTGTCGATCCTTCCTTTTGTCGTTATGGGGCTCATTTCGATTCCCAAATTAAAGCCTGCAAGATGGTTAGTGGCAGATGTACACAATATTGATTGGAACTTATATCTGAATACTCTCTTCTGGAATCTGAATTATTGGGATTCAATAAGTACTCTTGCCGGAGAAGTACATAACCCGAAAAAAACTCTGCCTAAGGCTCTGTTTTATGCTGTTATTTTGGTTGTACTATCGTACTTTTTCCCTTTGCTGATCGGTACGGGAGCCGTTCCCCTCGAGCGTGACTCGTGGACAGATGGATATTTCTCAGACATTGCGAAAATACTTGGTGGAGTTTGGCTTAGATGTTGGGTTCAAGGGGCTGCTGCAGTATCAAATATGGGAATGTTTGTGGCTGAGATGAGCAGCGACTCTTTTCAGTTACTCGGTATGGCAGAGAGGGGAATGCTCCCTGAGTTCTTCGCAAAGAGATCTCGCCATGGAACTCCTTTGATTGGGATCCTATTCTCAGCTTCTGGTGTGATTTTACTTTCGTGGCTGAGCTTTCAGGAGATAGTAGCTGCAGAAAATTTCTTGTATTGCTTTGGAATGATCTTGGAATTTATAGCATTTGTATGGTTAAGGATTAAATACCCCAATGCAGCACGCCCTTTCAAGATACCAGGTGGAACCATTGGAGCCGTGCTGTTGTGCATACCTCCGGCCATTCTCATTGGTGTTGTGTTGGCCTTCTCTTCGATTAAAGTTATGGTTGTAAGCCTGGTCGCTGTTGCGATTGGGTTGGTGTTGCAGCCATGTCTCAAGTTTATTGAGAAGAAGAGATGGTTGAAGTTCTCCATTAGTTCTGATCTTCCTGATATCACGTCACATGGACCGTTGCTTGATTGATTCTCTAACGAGTTGGGGCTTTATAAGGTCTAACTATTCCACTTACATAACAGCTATGGCGACTAAGTTGAGTGCAGAGTTATGGTGTAGTGCATGGAGAAAAGGCAGGCAGCAGAAGTGTTGTCGAGGTGTGGATGATCATTTTCTCTTGAACGATTTTATGGTAGCTTCTATCGTTGTAAGCTGTATTTGCCATGTCCCCATGCCTATGGAGCAACACCAGCAGAGGTGGTTGTTGGATGATCCATTTCTCTGTAGGGTATCTTCTAATCTTGTAGCTAGCTGTATTTGCCCCTGTTGTTGAGATTGTTGAAGTTATGATGGTGATTCAGGGAATTGAGTGATTTTTCCTGAATTGATTATGTTACTTGTGGTGTGCTAGTATTGTAGAGGTGTAAATGAAGGCATAACTGAAGCCCGACTGTGCTAATGTTAGTTTGAACTCAGGTTGTGATGGAATAAAATAAAAATAAAAAGTGATAACAACCACTAGTCTTGAATAGAATTAGAATGGATATAGAGGATTCCCATGGGATATATTCTCACCGGTCACGTTATTTTGTATGCAAGTGCTTTGATGTTAGAGAAGGTCATTTAGACAAAGTGTGCCAGCTTGATATGAACTAACTTCACCTAGAAACTTCTAGTTTGACTCCCAACTGCAGCTCGTTTATAGCTCGAATGTTTTAGACTAAAACATTACTCTGATGACAGTCCCAAGTCCCGGCTGCAGGATAAATGAACTAACATAATCCATCTATCATTGGAAAATCTTTTAAGGAAAACATGTTGCCTTCGTTTCTACATCTAAAACAAATAAAGCTGCTCTGAGGTAGACGCTTAAGAAACTACCAAGTAATGAAGATCTTAAGTACAGATGCTAGAGGAGTACACTAATGATATATATCAAATTGTCAATGACCACCTTTCACAACTAAGCTATTTTTCTCTCCAAAAATTGTGTAAAATCTTGAGCATTGAGAGATAGAATTTATAAGTGCTGGTTCTGAGCTAAAAGAATGAGTTATGCAATGCATATTTAACTCTATCTGTACTTATTTTCCCCACACATATATAGGGTTAGCGAAGCACTAATGAACCATTGTTGAATCCGTTGGTGATCTTGAGAACAATAACTATGTCTCACTCCCAAACAAGTTGAAGGTTTCTCCATTTATATTCAAACTAGTAAGGTACTCGAAGAAGGATATGCTAAGAAGCTAAACAAGAGCTCACCCGGTATTTATTCTGATTGGAAGGTACTCGATCGGTCTTGTTCGAAAAGAATATCCTCATTGAAAGATGCCACACTAGAAGAATGAAATAACTTTTGAGTGTTCCACCAGTATGTTTGTTATGTCGAGGAAGAGGCAAACCCAAAAATAAAGAAGATAAAGAATACCAAATTTTAACGTAAAAACCCCTTCAAATTGAAGGTAAAAATCACGGGATCACAAAGATCCAAAAATCTCCACTATAAAAATAAGAGGGTTACAAAAGTTCTCCAAATTGGCTACACAACAAGTGCCAAACACGCAGCAACAATAGCAACAACAAATCAATTGAAGAAGGAGGAGTCAGATGCTAAGAGCCTCCAAATCCGATCTCCACCATTCAAATCAAAGAGCAAGATGTTAAAAATATCCGGTAAAAGTTTCAGCCTGATCCAACGGTTAACGAATCCGAAAACATAATTTGAAGTTGGTTGGACGGAACAAAATTCTTGCAGCAAAACAAATACTTTTCCTTCTCTCTTCTCTCTTGATGAAAGTTCTCTAAAAAAAACCGCTTATGTGCTAAAGTCTTTCAAAGACTTATACCAATGAGCATAAATAATTCTCCAAGGTTACTCTATTTATAGATAATGAGTGGTGCTTTCTTTTAAAGCCAAAACCAACTCTACATAGGAATAAAAATCGAACCAATTCCGAATAGGAACGAAAACAAAAAGAGAATAGGATGCCATTGGGCCCTTGGCTGGACAACATGGGCATGGGCCCAACAAACTCCCCCTTCAGCCAATGGGCCAAATATGTCTTCAAGTAGAGGAACTATTAACAGGCTTCATGCCTGCCAATTTTCTGCAAAAATGCATGCTTGTCTGCAACCACCACTTTTGTCAGCATATCCAAAGGTTTTCATCAATGTGTATCTTCTCAACCTCAAATAATTTCTCTTCCACGACCATTCTTATCCAATGATACTTTTTATTTGTATGTTTGGTATTAGAATGAAAAGTGGAGTGCTTGGTAAGACAGATAGCACTCTGATTATCACAAAATAAGATGTACCTTGGCTGCTCAAAGCCAAGATCATTAATAAACTCCTTCATCCATAATAGTTCTTTGGCACCTTCTGTGACAGCATCTGTGGTGGATAGAGCTATGCACTTCCGTAGTCTAGATTGCCAAGAAACAGCTCCCCTACAAAGTGATCAAATAATCGGAGATCTTGAATTATCAAGTTTGCCTCCTAAATCAGAGTCTGTGTAATAAAAAGCTCAGGCTTGCCACTGCCAAAGCACAACTCAAATCAGCAGTACCTTTCAAATACCTTAATATTCATTTTACTACATCCCAATGTTCCTTTCCAGGATTAGAAAGGAATCTACTAACAGTACCTACGACATTTGTAATATCTGGTCTAGTGCAAACCATAGCATACATCAAACTACCAACAGCAGAAGGGTAAGGAATATGAAACATCTTCCTTTTCTCTTTATCGGTAGATGGGCTCTGGCTAGTACTCAATTTGAAGTGTTTAGCAAGAGGAATACTAACCACTTTTGCATCTGTCATATTGAACCTCTTGAGTACTTTCTCAATGTATTGCTTTTAGGACAAAAATAACTCTTTTCTATCTCTGTGTTGGTGTATTTGAATGCCCAAAAGTTTTCTTTGCTGGCCCCAACTCCTTCATCGCAAACAATTTGCTCAACTGCTTCTTAAGGACTGCAATTCTGAATTTATTGTTGCCAACAATAAGCATATCATCTACATAAAGCAATAAGATAGGTAAATCATCATCAGAGAACTTCTGGAAGAATACACAGTGGTCTGAAGAAGTTTTTTGTACCCTTATTTTTTATGACAAATTCAAACTTCAAATACCATTGCCTTAGAGCTTGTTGCAATCCATACAGGTTCCTTTTCAATTTGCAGACATAGTTTTCGTTTTCCTTAGTAAACCCTCAGGTTGCTCCATATAAACCTCCCCATCTAAATCACCATGAAGAAAAGCAGTCTTTACATCCCATCTGCTTAACCTCTAAATCTAGATTCGCGGCTAAGCCTAGAATCATATGAATAGAAGACATCTCCCACAACACCTTTGCGGGACAAGTGTTAGTCTGTCACTTGTATTTGCCTTTTCGTGAGGTTGTTCTCTCGATATTTTGTGCTCTCTTTTATATAGTGGATTACTCATCTCTGCTTGTGGACATAGATCAATTGACCGAACCACGTTAAATGTTTGTATCTCTTTTGGTATATTTTTCCTTTATTGTCTACTTTATTGTCGTTCAAGGTTTGTTTTACTAGCTTCCGTATAGCACCTTTTTTTTCGATCCTAACAAGTGGTATCAGAGCGTGGTTCAAGACAGGTTCATCTTGGCAAATTTAGTTCTAGCCGCAACCTATTTGACAGTAATCATGGTTTTTGTTTGAAAATTTGACCAGAGTACTATTCATGTTGAGACAAACTTCGCGATGGAGATTTGGAGATGCGACCTGTTGAAGGTTATGTGACGAAGGTGGATCAGTTTATTTTGTAAGAAAATTTAGGCCAAGGGGAAGAAAATTATTAGGTATTTGTCTTGATTTCTTTACCATATTTGGTTTTCCCATCTCTCGAAGGACGGGGCAACATATTTACCATAATTGAATTTTCCTTCTTGTAGAAGGAAATTATAAATTTCCAATATTTGGCTAGTCCCTTTTCTTGGAGGAAAATGTTTGGACTTCTAAAAATTGAGGATTTCCTTCTCATTCAGTAGCATCCACAATGTAGCCATATGGGGTTTGAGAGTGTTGTTTAATTGGAGAACTTTAATTTACGGGACAAGTGTTAGTCTGCCACTTGTGTTTGCCTCTTCGTGAGGTTGTTCTCTCGATATTTTATACTCTCTTTTATATAGTGGATTGCTCATCTCTGCTTGTGGAAGTAGGTCAATTGACCGAACCACGTTAATTGTTTGTGTCTCTTTTGGTATATTTTTCTTTTGTTGTCTGCTTTATCGTCGTTCAAGGTTTGTTTTACTAGCTTCCGCATGACACATGATATTTTCGATCCTAACAAATGTCAACCATGAGATAGTGATCAATCCCAAGTGTCCATTGATCCTGTACAAGCTGCTCATAGTATGGTTGTTTAGTCAAATTTGCAGGAGAACTTTTCCACCAATAGTCACTGGGGTTAGAAGAATTGCCAGCTAACCTGTTACCCGTTTCAAAGGTCACACAGTTAAGCTGGAATACATTCAGATGAATCATAATATCCAAATAGAAACAACAGCTTTTCTTCAACCGCATCCATTGGTCGTCAAACTTCCAGTTTTGCGACTTGCGACTTTACTGATATAAATCCCAAGTCCAGTGACTAGATATAACTGAAATTATTAAGACTGACACGGCTTGGAATTTTTTCTGATTTAGCATGCCAATGTAGTTATTCGAGTTTAGCTCATATACATCTGCGGCAGCGTGAACAATTTCTTTTACACTTCCTACAAGTAACGCTATATAAAAAGCAAGATCTATAATCTTGAAAATAAAGCAGGTTATTTGCTACAACAGGTCCCGATAAGGTAAAAGTTCTTTTACACTATCGGTGTATATGTAAGTAAAGCTTTAGTTATATTTTAAGTGACAAGAATTAGTTTTAAGAATTTGGTGCAATAACCTGAAAGTTTGACGCCTATACGTGAAGTTAACCCACAATCCATACCCAAATAATTTAAAACTTATACAAGTAGAAAATTCATTTCTATGTGAATACAAAATCAATAGTACTAGTGGGTCTAGTTTAAAAGGGCTTGTAAATAACAATTCTGGCAATAACTTCTAGCAATTCCCTTAGTTTCTAACCGCAAATTTTCGAAGAAAAATTGAATCCCTCTAGTTCTTCGAATAATTTAGTAGAATCAAGGGTTGGGTACTGTGAAAAGAAATTATCTCTTGGTAGCATCCATTAAAATGCATGAAATGAAATGGACGAAGTTATCTCTGGATTTGATATCGAGTAGAGTCACACAATTAAACTGTAGGTACTATCCATGAATTAAATTCCATTAAGACTGATTTTATGTTGGAAACACAAACCAAAAAAGAAAATAAAAAAGCAAAGGCCACGTAGTTAAAATGGTGTGTAAAGTTATTCCCTTTTTCAATTTGTCTGTCCCGGGGATTTGGGAACAAGCTCAGGTGGCATTTTATGTATTTTGCCATCTAGATAATACCTCCATATGATAAAAGGTAAGGCGAGGGAGGGTCACTTTGCCTAATTCCCCTAGTGAGATAAAAGAATGAACCGTTTATTAATATAGAAGTACTAGTGGTAGTGACACATGACATAATTAACTTGATTAATTCAGGGGGGGAAAAAGTTAAGATAATGAAGAGCATATTTTACAAGGACCACCCGAACTTGTCAAAAACCTTTTCTAAATCGATTTTTATCGTGATCTTAGACTTTAGTTCTTTTGAAATAGTTTAGGACTTCATGAAGTATAGCCTTACCGATGTCCTTCTACCTTTTGTTAAAACTAGTTTGAGTAGGATGGATTAATTTCGGCAATAAGGATCTGATCCTATTAATTAGTATAGGCAGTGGAACACAAACTATTGTCTAATAGTTTCAGCATTTTGGAATTAAGCAAATATAGGTTTTATGCATAAATTCCGGCACAGTCTTGGTATCTTCAAGACAGAAATTAATAAGTTGGAAGGAAAATATTTGAAAGAGAAAAGGATAAAGGCCATCCGAACTATTTGAGAGCATTCAAAATGATTATTGCTTCTCCATAGTTTCTTGATATTACTAGGTAGAGCGAAGACTCCCAGTAAGTAGTGTATATATATATATATATATTTAAAGATAGCTAGTGCATCTCGGATCTTAGTTTGGTCATCTTTAGAGTTGGCTTCTCTCCCCATCATTTAACCATCGCACTCTAGATTTGAGTTTCCAAAACACCCAGAAATTGATAGTATGATAATATGGGGAATTTTGAATCCTGCCAAGTCTAGCTAGTAAGGTGTTTCTTTAATGGAATATATTACAAAAAAAATGTGTCTATATTCCATTTCTTGACATTTTCAATGAGTTTCTCAATAGCACTGCCTATATTATCCTGCTTCTACAATAAGACTGTCAGTTGGTTTTGCTTTGTCCAACAGCTTACATTGATCTTTCTATGTTTGTACGTAATGGATGAGACACTTATTAGCTATCCTATTCTTTAGCTGATCTAGTTGTGCTTTATGTCGCATGCTGTGCATGTACGTATTTTTATGTGCAAATAGGACGTTGTTTTGTTGGACTGTAGCTTGAGCTAAAGATCGAGTGAATTCTGGTGGAGAATAGCAGGATATCTGCCCGCACGCTGATAGAAGAATGTTGTTGCTGAATCTATAGGAGTAAGGTCTGCTTACACACTACCATCTCCAGACTCTACTTGTGAGAATATACTGGGTATGTTGATGTTGTATTTTGTCAGTCTCTGTTGTCCAACAGTTAAAGCAAATGAGACATTTCTATTAACAATATTACGGTCATTTAGCAGCTCCAGCGCTCCATCAAACTGATGAATCCGCTCAATCCTCCTCCTCCTCCTCCTCCTGATCCTATACCTAATAGGCCCTTAAGAAGTGATTCCAGAAGACCTTCATATCCAACAACACCAACTCTACATATGGTGCAGCAAAGGGAAATCCTGCTCTATAAAAGGGCGAGGATTGGATTTGACCATAAAGAGGAACATTTAACCCCAACTATTTCGCCCGAAAGATGAATGGAGGGATACCTCTCGCTTTACCTGAAAGATGAATGGATACCTCTCGCTTTACCCGAAAGATGAATTGAGGGATACCTCTAGCTTTACCTGAAGAAGCAGACCACGAAATATTATTCCAGATGCTTCTAGTTATGGGTCTATGTCAAGGAAGAAGATTAGAGGATGGCCTTGAATTTTGCATGGAAATGTTGGAAGCTGGACGTTCCTCCAACTTCAAAACATGATTAAAACAGTGAGGCAGATGGGACTTGTCCTTAACCAGAAAGACCCATTCTTCCCACTGGTTTGGGAGGCAATCCTGGGAAATAAAGCAATCCCTCTTCTAGTTTTCTTCCCTTCAATTTGTAGAGTTTAAGGAACATGGGGAGTATCTATTTTATTCTTCTGAGACAGACATCTAGATCAGTAGAAGTTAGTAGAAAGCTAAACTCGACCTTGAAACACATTAAACACCTGAAAACATGAAACAACTCTTCGATAATCTAAATGGACTGAACCATCAGTACACGTTCAGTTCAAGTATAAATATGACCAATAAATACCAATTTATCAGTCGCAAAATGAAATCATCAATGGTAATACAGCAGTTTCCATGAAACCTTTTCAGAGGTTGAGGTTTAATCTCGACAAAAAGTCTCCCACCAATTGCACAAAACAAAGCCCTATTTGCAATCTGATGTTGTCAATATCACATCAGATACTGTGTAATTGATAAGCGGAAGCAGCCTACTTTTACTCCATGTATTAAGACAGCTGAAGACCTCCAAAACCAGTAGGGACTGTTTATCAATCAGTAAAAAGGATTTCATTCCCTACAAACATCTAAAGGCTAACTTATCACACTCCAAATAACAGGAAAAATTGATCATCCAATTAACAATCAGATGCGACGCTTCTTTGGGAGGCGGCATCCATTATGGGGACGTCGTGTTGTGTCCTCAATGAATACCACAGGATTCTTATCTCCACGAGAATGAGTATAGCCCTCTCTGAAGCTTAGAATTGCTTGCTTCTTTTTCTTAAAGAAAGTAAAGCCATTTACTTTCATGACCACTGACCTCAAGCCCCGGTCTCTGGCTTCACGCCCAACATGTTCTGCAGTTGATTCGGCAGCGTATCTTGCAATTTTTGTTCCTTTTCCTGTTATCTTACCTGCACTAGACCCAAACTTTTTGTTCCCTTTTGAATCCGTCACAGTAACAAAGGCATTGTTGCGAAGAACTTTTATATGAACAATATCAGCATCCTGCTCAACGTGATACCTAGAAAGTGGAGCACCACCCAGAACACCCCTCGTATTGTCCTCCGTAAGTCCTCTAACAAAGTCCATTGGTCGAGAATTGTTTCCCATCTCAGCTTCCTTTGGGCTTTCAGAATGTATGAAACACCTCCTACCAACATTATATGGTGAATGAACATTCAATCCCAAGATTGAGTGTTGATTACTGCATATTTTGCTTTCAGTCTTCCCTTGAATACCTGCAAAATGATTTATTGAGCCAACGGTTCAAAAATTACTGCATATCTCAAGACCAGAATAACAGACAAGGGCAAATGTGTGCAAGCTATACAAAATACTGTTCTGCAGATGCGTATTACAAAGCTGGAAAAAACAAGTGCAAGAGATTCCAGGATCTACTAAATACAAGTGAGACAGACATTATAATCGATTCAAACACATGCACATAATTACAAACCACAATGTTCTACCACTGCTGGATGCAGTTCCCTTTCTATTACTCAAGATGTTAGGTCTAATTTTAAATCCAGAAGTTCTGCTCCATCACCTTAGAAGTTCCCTTGTAAGCTTTATGGAAGCATTTTTCTTTCTTCCACACGAGGAATACTAACAGAAAAATCCAAACCAATAGAGCAACATGTAAGAGAGTCAATTTCAACATGGAAAGATTTGACAAAATACTATGTGGGCAACCAACAACAAAACTTATGATTTTCGAATGCTTGAAAACAAAAGAGAGTAATGGATAATCCTTAACGTTTTTACCTACTAAAGCAACAAAACAAGTAAAATGAAATCAAGGCAGGTACAGACTGGGGTGGGTCTCTATTACATGATCCTGACAGTATATGGGAGGACTATTCTACTTGGTCTTGTGATATCCTTGTAAGACTTGTCTTTCTCTTTGTAATCCATATATATATATATATATATATATATATATATATAGAAAGAGAAGAAACACAAATAGTCTTCTATCATTCCCCCGTATATATATGTTATATTTCATACCCCTAAACTCTCAAGTGCTCAGGTGAACTCTTCCATTTACTTGGATCAAAAATCGACAAGCATCTATCATCTTCCACTTTGATAGTCCAATATTCTAAATTAAGTTTGTGAGTTCTACCCCCTTTATACTATCTTTCAATGACTGTAGCTTTGAGGAGTCTTAGTTATTAAAGAGAAATATGAACAGTTTATCTACAATACAATCATGCAATCTCTAATCCTCTGCTTATGATTTTAACAAAAGTCAGCGCAGATTCAATAACCAAAAAAGGAAACTTATAAGTCTTAATCTTTGCATAAAATCAAGGCGGAAACCATTTAAGTTACTGGTATAAATAATTTTGAGGAGGAAAGTTTTAAGCTTAAATAAACTCCAAAATTCAATAATAAAGATATGCAATTTCGTTTAATAGTACCCACCATAATTTGGAAGTGCAGAAAAGGTCCTGAAAGCTTGAGAAGAATGTAATTTGAAAGCATTGGCAGCCCATAAGACACTGCGTATAACTTTCATCTTGCCTGTAATAATATGAAACTTCTTCCTACCAAAATAACAAAACCAGTTTAGTAATAAGGGATTGTTGTCTAATATCTGAAGGAGGGATAGAGAAAGAGGAATATACACTACACTGTTAAGGTGACCGAAGAGATGCAAAAATGGAGAAGATCTGCCAGGAAATGTAGGGCTCAAGTGAAGTCGAGTAGGAACCCGGTTAGCCCAATATAACAATTTAGGTTTAGGCCCAGACTAAGTGGGCCTTAAAACACATTTATACAGTCCTTCTTTTTCATCTGACATTAAATATAAATGTCAAATTTTTTAATTTCTCTAGCTACCTATTTTATTATTGAAACCTAGGCCTCTCCAGTATTACTGTATATTAGAAGAGAAACTTTCGACAGTGTGTAGAGATGGCAATTGGACGGGGCAGGGCAATTTTTGATCCACTAAGATTTTGATCTGCTCTGTCCTGCCCCGTTTAGCCTTGCTCCAAAATTTTGCCCTGCCCTATTAAGCCTTGCCCCGCCCTGCCCCGTTTAGATTCATTTTTATTTTTTTTTTATTTCCCAGTAAATACTTTGTCTTATCCATATATTTATATAAATACCCTATTTTACATCCACTTTGCCAAAGAAAAACAAAGAATATCATCTTCGAAGACTAACGTGCAATTTGGTTTTAAACCATCATCTTCGAAGATTAACTATGAGAAGATACATAATTCTTAACAGGTATTGGAGTATTGAAATTACATGTGTATTCATGTACGGATATTTGTCTTTATAAATGTTGACAATTAAGAAGGGACGACATTCTTTTTAAAATATTATCACGAATTATAAATTGCGAACAATTAAAGTTGGCATTAGTAAGTGTCACGTTGAAAATCATACAACACATGGCTTCTCTCACTCTCAAGATAACGCATAGTATTATGTATACTTTGGATTGTCTATTTCTTTAATTGTAGCTTCCACGTCACATTCATCAATACGTAAAAAATTCTACTATTCTTTAAAGGTATTATTCCAAATTTGTGTCTGTTACATTCTCTAGCTACTTCAATATTAATTTATGAAAGAAAAAAAGACATTGACAATAAAGTAACCAAGGGGCTGACCTACAACCTGCCCTGCCCCATTAAAATTTTTCAAAAATATAGTTTTGCCCTGCCCTGCCCCATTTACATATTTCCCAGCCCTGCCCCGTTTACTGTTTGCCATGCCTCGCCCCGCCCTACCCCAATTGCCAACCCTAATAGTGTTAAGATATTTTCAATAAAGCTTGAGGGCATTTAGGCCATTTCACATCAGCTCTATATGTCCCCCCCCCCCCCCAACCCCCTACACAAATACTACATGTAACTTCTAAGTTACTCCAGATGTATGTTTTTCTCCAATTTGTTTGCATAACATACACAATGAACTTACAAAGCTTCTCAAATTTTCTTTGTCTTCCTCAACCTTTTCAATTTGCAGGTGCATTCTTACTCTTTAACGTCAATTTTGTTGTTTTCTATCTATTTCTCTTACTTTTTTGTATCAATGGTAAGATAGTAAAAATGGAGCTTTACCTCAAATTCATAAAAATAAATTAACTGAATTAAAGACAGATTTTGTCTATATTCAAGAAGATCCGGAAATTTTCGAGTTAGAGTTTTGATAGATAAAATTGGACGAGTGAAACTGTGAAGGACGAAAAAAGCACGTTTCTTCATATGTTTATGATATGTTGTCAGGGGTATTTTTGAGAAAGAAAATATGCAAACAATGCTAACCCATTACAGTTTTAATTAGCATTATTTTATTTTTTATTTTAAAATAATTTTAAAACTCCAACACGAAACTACTCCCCAATTTGAATTGGTAGTTTTTTATTTTTTTTATTTTCGCTAATTATTTTAAAATAATTATAAAACTCCAATTTTCTTGGAGGTTCGTCCAAAAAATCTACACTTATCATCTTATGGTTATGCACTTGGCTTCATATGGTGACTTTACCTCTCCTTTTATTATATATAGATTTTTAATTTTTTTATTATGCCAACTCATAAGTATAGTTATTTATAATTTTATTCGAACTTTTCTAATACTTTACCAGGCTAAATGATTCTAAAAAATAAGAATAATATAAAAGTAAATAACTAAATGGTATCAGAGCCAATAAGTAAGCAGACCAGTTTAGGATAACTTAACATTTAAATATGCTAGCTTAGGATAGACCACAAGAAACCTCCCCACATTTCAAATTCTTGGAATGACCGAGCCATCATCTTCAGAAAATAATCATATAACTTTCTTACATCCAAGAGAAATAGAGGCGGACCAGGTGGGTATTTTTATTGTTGAATTTACATATTTAATAAAAATTAAGAATAATAGAAGAATATATGTATTAAACCTTAAATATATGATCATTCCAAACACAAAGAGGATGATCTGTAAAAAAAAAATAATAAAATAACTTTACACGAACTATGGGGATTAATTTGCAAAATAAATAACTCTATGTGACGACCCGGCCCGTTGTCACGTGAGTTACTGCCCCGTTTCCCCCATATTATGTTTCTCTATGCTTCATTATCGGTATTTGAGGTGATCGAGTTGAATTGGATTGGTTTTAGATGGAAATGAGACACTTAGTCTCTTTAAGGAAAGCTTATTTTGGAAAAGTCAACCGGAAGTTGACTATTGAGTTAGAGGGCTCGTATGTGATTTTTGGTGATTCGGTTAGCTTCGGGAGATGATTTGTGATTTAAGAGCGTGATCGGAAGTAATTTTGGAGGTCCGGTGTGGAATTAGGCTCGAATTGGCGAAGTTAGTATTTTGGCGAATTTCGGTTGGTGGGTGAGATTTTGATCCGGGGGTCGGAATGGAATTTCGAGAGTTGCAGTAGTTACGTTTGGTGATTTTGGATGTGTGTGCAAAATTTCAGGTCATTCGGAGATGTTTTGGTTGGGTTTTTGATCGAATGCGTATTTCGGAAGTTTTTAAGAAACTTAGGCTTGAATCCGATGCGATTTAATGGTTTTAGCGTTGTTTGATGTGTTCTGAGGATAGGAACAAGTTTGAATGGGGGTTTTAGGATGTGTTGGTATTTTTGGTTGAGGTCCCGGGGGCCTCGGGGTGATTTCGGGTGGTTAAACGGAAGAAATTGGAGTTGGAAATTGCAGGTTCTTGGTTGCAGCAGGTATTTCCGCATCTGCGGAAAGGAGACCGCAGATGCGGCTGCGCGGAAGCGGAGAAGGCATCGCAGGTGCGGAAGAGGGTGAGGCTGAGCAGTTTCCGCAGAAGCGGAAAGGTATTCGCAAAAGCGGATCCGCATGAGCGGAAAAGTCACCGCAGAAGCGGTTTGGGCCTGGGGGGGGGTGAAGTTTCGGAGAAGCGGGAATATGAGTCGCAGAAGCGGCCTCTGAGATTTAATGAGATTCCGCTTAAGCAGACAAAGACCGCAGAAGCGGTCACGCGGAAGCGGGCGTGGGGACCGCAGAAGCGGAAACCCCTGAAGGCCACTAGGAGTTTAATATCATTTTTCATCCGCGAGGGTTATGTATTTTCCTCCATTGTTGAGCAAGCTTGAGAGCTTTTGACGGGGTTTTAGAGAGTTTTGACTGGGAATCGATTGGAGGTAAGTCCTATGGCCTAGAAACATCATTTTATTGAAGAATCAACCTTTAATTCTTGGAAAAATTGGGTTTAAATTGGAAGAACTAGGGCTTGGTTTTTGAAATGAAAATTTGGGATTTGAGGGGGCATTTGGGCTCCGATTTTGGTAAATTTGATATGTATATACTCGTGGCGAGACGAGGAATCCGGAGATGCAAATTTTGTAATTTTTCGAGAAGTGGGCCCAGGGCTCGGGTTTTGCCAACTTCATGATTTTCGACGTTTTTCGAGTATTTTTGATTGGGTTATGTTTCTTTGGCCTATTGTAATGTATTCCTTATGGTTTTGATCAGATTCGATGCGCGAGGAGTTCGATTCGAGGGGAAAGGGCTTGGCGAGCTAGACTTTTGGCCGGCTAGAGGTGAGTAATGATTTTAAATAACGTCCTGAGGGTTTGAAAACCCGGATTTGCACAACTTGGTGCTGTGTTGAGATGAGACACGCGTTCAATGGCGAGAGCGGGGTCATTTACTATTGGGGATTGTGACTTGGTCCAATCCAGAGGATATTTTACCGCGAATTAACTATGACTTGTTGTTTTACACTGTGATTTGGGCTAATCACCATATTTGGGGCTTATTGCTGACTGTTTGAACTCCTTATGAACTATTATCACTGTTTTCCTCACTATTTGAAATATTATTTGAACTCAGTCCATGTGATTTACACTGTTTCATTAACTCAGCTATATTTTACTCAAACTTAGAGTTTTAACTGATATTTGGACTATTGTTTGAGCTGAGTATTATTGTTTTACTGATGCCCGAGGGGTTTTTGACTGTTTTTGGACTGATTGAGGCCGAGGGCCTTATGTGAGGGCATGATGAGTGATGTGTGGAGGCTTTTAGGCCTCGAGTGTATTGTGAGCAGGCTTTCAGGCCTCGTATTGATATTGTTCAGGCTTTCGGGCCTTGTTGATAGCGCTTGGGCTGTAGGAGCCCCTTCGGAGTCTGCAGACCCACAGTGAGCGCGGGTACCCATCTAGAGCGGTTAACTTTTAGACAGTGGTAACAATGACACTGTTATGCGCGTTTTGGTCAGGTAACAATGACTGACCAATCAGGTATCAATGACTGGTCAGTGGTAACAAGGGCACTGTAATACGCGTTTTGATCAGGTAACAATGGCTGACCGGTCAGGTAATAATGACTGACCAGGAACAAAAATCATGCCCGAGGGGCAGTGTTCTGAGCATTTCTTACTGGTTGAGCATAATTGATTTAATTGTTTCAAAGAGAATTTCTTGCTATATTTCACTGGTTTTACTGTTTTATCTGGTTTTACTGCTCGAGATAGCATTACTTGCACCTTTACGGGATTTTCGTGTTCTCAGTCGTTATTTATCTTTATTACTCACTGGGTCGGAGTACTCACATTACTCCCTGCACCATGTGTGCAGATACAGGCATAGCTGAGTTCGTTCCTGAGTGTTGATTCCTTCCAGACCAGGCGGACCCGGAGAGATGAGGTAGCTGTCGACGTCCACAGCTCCATTTCTTCCTTATCATCAGTATTTCATTTATCTTCGGACTATGTTCTTAGACAC